GTTCTCCATGCTTATAAGATCAGTTCATGAAATTTTCATAACAACCTTATGAGGTAGGTACTTTTATTTCCCCCTCCCCCCTACTTTTTTTTTTTTTTTTATTATGAAGGCATGAAGCCTGAAAAGGGTGGAACAAGAAGGGGGGACCAGACTACCTGAATATAATTTGCACACAATTATTGCATATTCTTATATGCAACAAGTGCATGCAAACAAACAAGAAAGTGTCTTTAAAAGCATCTGCTCTTTTCTTGCTCTGCTGAGCAAAACTGTTTTCTAGCCTGATCATAGCCTCTTCTGTACTTCAAATTGAGAAAAGTTGCTGGAACTTAACTTTACACCTTGCCTCTCATCACAGTAAATTGTGTCTTTTCTTCCCCCATATTATTGATTTTACTCAGCTCAATATTTTATCTGACTGACTGCAGTAGCAATATGTATACTCAGTTTTAGGAAAAACACATTTTCCACATTGACCCAAATGTTAGGGTATACCCTTGAGAGTTTTATGGTATGCTATGGCACACAGGTAGAGAGCCACTTACTTGTGAAAATTTACCTAGACAACCTTTATGTTATGCTCAGTTCCATGCCCCTGAGACCAGTATCAAACACCGAACAACTAACTCTCTGCTTTTGGCAGAATTTAGCATTAAATAGTACTGTTGTCAGTTTATATTTTCTCATCAAAAATACTATTAAAATTAATTTGTGGATATAAGTAGTTACAAATAGCTAAATCCAAGGCCCAGTGCCTTGTAAAACTTCTTGGAAAAACATCTAGTGCTTAATAGCTCTAGATTATATTTTCATTTTATTCAGTTCTAATGTGAACAAGCTTCTCTGTCTCTAACTCTGAAAGAAGCAGAAAAGTCTTTATAATTTATTAACCCCTGAAAAGGGCACATTCCTTTGTCATAGCTTCAGAGGCAGAGAGAGAAAGCAGATAAAAAAATCACATTCATACTTTCAATTATTGGATTCTAATTTTATTCCCTCATTCTGCATACTTAAAATGGGCATTACTAAAGGGACTAAGTTCAGGGGTATTGTTTTATTATTATGCAATAGTACATGAGTAAAATATTTTGAGCCAAATCAAGTGTGTTCAGCTAACTTTTGTTGTACAATTTATATGTATGTTCACTAGATAGATTCTTCGGTGGCTAATTAAATGATACTATCTAAAAATGGTTTATCTTCAACTGATAGGTTCTATGTACAGATTGATTTTCTCTGAGGAGGTTGTATTTTAGGCTTTTTATTTCTTTTAAGTCACTGAGTATGTGTAAATAAGTTCAGTAGGGAATAAATATCACTTTTAGTGCCATTGTCCTAGGAACTACCATTACCGTCTACCAAGATACTGAAAAAATTGGCCTTAAAAGGTAGATTGTCTCTAGTTTGCTTGTTCAAACACAAACTACTATCATTTGTGAGATATTAAGGTTTTTAATTAAAATAAAAAATTTCTTCACTTTTTTATTCTTTTGCTTAAACTTTAAAGAACCTTATCCAAAGTCAAACAACTGTAAACTTGGCATACTCTTACCAGCAAATAATTGATTGTAAAATAGACAATAAAAATAAAGCTAGCTTGCTTGAACATACATTATAAATACAAGATAACTTTGTCCAAAAATGCTTGATACTGTTTTTGGGATCCACCACAAACTATTTTATTCTTATAATATTTCAGTGACCACATTCAGAATCAAGTATGAGTTATAAAATATTTGACAGACTTTTCACAAAACCCAAATACAATGTAAAAATCTATTTTAGATTAAAACATACCTGAGAACTTAGAGACACACAGAAACACAAGAAATGCAAATGAGTTTGTCCTTTAACTCATGTTTCCTACTTCCCATAAAGTTTTTGGTTTTAATTAGCCATACCTTAAAATACATTCTACATTTGTAGTAATTTAAAGATGAGGACTTTTCAGGTAGAAAAAAAATAATATATGCAAGAACAAGAATTGTTTTTCATTGTTCAGTTATAAATGCCAAGTACCTAGAAGAGTGCCTGGCATGGAGTAGATACTCAAGAAAAGTGACTGATTAGATAATCAGCTGTATTAAGGGAGGGAGAGAGAGAGAAAGAGAAAGAAAATAAGAAAGAGAAATTGATTGATTTGGGGAACTGAAATTTGTAAACCTGTTTCTGGGTCCTAGCTCTTGCATTTACTGACTTACTGACTGGGTGATCTTTGGAAACAAGTTACAAATTATCAGTTTCTGTTTCCTTAGTTGCATAATATCAATTATTTTATCGCATATCAATTGTTAAGAATTAAATATATATGTACACAATGTTGATTAAAAGACCTTTAAACTTTAAAATACATAAAACATTACATTTATGTACCTAAAATATATACCTAAATATCCAGACATTCACGCAGTAAGTCCAAGCTGTCCAAGATGACATCATAGTTACTATATTTTTTGTCTTAAGCAAAAAGTTGGCCTGGAATGCCCAGAATTTCACACTGTCAAGGCAAGCATAGAATTCATGATCATTCAAGTGCTTGAACTGAGAAACTAAAAAAACAAGCAGTATTGTCATTCAATCACTACAAGAAACTAACAAAGGGGCTTACATTAAACTAAAATCTAGAAAAGTATTAAAACATACAAAAAGATTATTATTTTGCAATAGGTAAAAACATAATTTGAGGAATAATTTTCAAAAGAAAAAATATATCACCCCCAGTGTATGGAGTATGCAGAGAACTTCAGAAGAGTTAATAAGAATCTTTCCATGGCTATTTTTTTCCATCTCTTCTTAATATTGGTTACATAAATCAGACAAAGATCATATGTATTTAAAAGGAAGCAGATAACACAGTAGTACATGTAACATGACACATCATTTGTTTATGTCACTCTGTACTGAGAAGCCTTCCTAGGGACTTTGTGGCATAGGAAATTGCTATGATCCCATTGATGTCCTCTCTTACATTAAAAATAATAACAAAAAAACTTCCTGTGAAATGAATTAAGTCCATTAGCCAGGTAGCTCATATCCTGTGTACTTGCGTTGTATAAAGTTGTCCAAAGGAAAAGGAGGAGATAAGCACTTAAACATACTGCAATCACCATCAACATAGTACATTTGTGACTAGCAAGGCTAATACTGAAAGAATGAATCACACACAGAAAAAAATACATTTAAATGTCTAGATCATTCACAAGCTGAATAAGATTTTCTTCATTGTTGACAGAATGATATAAATAGATTTGTAGAGAATTAATTATTGGGAGACAAATGCTTTTCCCTTAGTTAAGTTTAATCACCTGTGAAAATGACACAGTCAATACTACTGGGTTTTTCAACTCCACTTTAGAGTACTTAGGGAAAGAAAAAAAAAATCATTTCAAAGCAGTGACTCATTACACTTTCAAGCTCATATTATCAAAACTTTTAGATTTCAATTTAAATTTTGAAATTCACAGAATATACCAACTTAAATTTTCCTGAGTAAAAAATTAACTCTAGATGTGTATCGGAAGCTTTTTGAGGTTTTGTTGATTATATATGGTTGTGGCTGAGACATTAAGTTCACTTGTTTAGATTTCATTAATACACATCTGACACTTTCTATAAACTTAGTTTTGTTCAGACCTGAATTGACTAAAGGAGACAGTTCGAACAACAGTAATGTCTAGAGCTGCCAAACAGGACTGGGCTAGCAGAAGATACAGAGTGTGACATAGCTGAGAAACCCCTGCTGTCTTACAGCTCAACTCGAGAATCTCCAAATCCTGATTTTTAATTATCAAAATTACTAGTTTGCAAAGGCAGAAATATTCTATGTTAAAGGCAGAGTAAAAATAAATCTAAAAACCATAAGCACATCAACGCTGGATGAACAAGCCATTATTCAAAAGTTTTATTACCCTAGGAGGAATGGAGATGCTATTAAAATAAAAGAGCGTGTTAAATAAAATAACAGCTAATTACACTTTTCTGTGGCTCTATTTCATAAATAACTGCATTCAACTTTAAAATAACAACCGTGTGCTACTTTCTACCATAATAATAGACAACATTTGAGGGGATACGAATATTTTTGAATTCTTCATTTGTTAGCATGTGAACATTCTCAGTCAATTGAAAGCTTTTAGTGTAGTGACTTTTCAGGTTCTCTGTCACATTCAATCACCTATCCATAGCAATTCAACAGCTCTAAATATATTCGTTTTGCTACAATATAACAAGATCCTCAGGCATAAATGTTACTACTGACAAATGATTAAATAATATAAAGTACTCTTTTAGGATTTAAATATTTTCTGGCTACATAAAAGACAGTATTTTATTTTGCACTAAAAAGCATAACAAAAATGCAATAAAAGATTTTAATATCTCTTAATTCCAGAAAGAAACCCTTACACACATTCTTAAAATTTTTCGTTATTATTATTTCCTTAGATTTAAATGGTAAATATGAATGTAAAGTCTTACAACTTTATTTCAGAAGCCAGAGCCTTTGCTCACTTGGTAAATTTTGTTTTCCCTATATAAATGCAACTTTGCAAAACTGTCCCAAAGAACTGCCATTTAACAATTAAAAACTTTGACTCATTTTAAGTCCACAGCAACACTACTTGGTTGACCATTTCTACAACTATTCTTTAATACTAATAGAAAAATACAGAGAAATGATGCAGAATGATATACATGCACATATACAGTTTTAAAAACACATCCAAAATTGTGGTCTTATAATAGCAGTTACTTTCCTTTTTCTAAAGCGAAGCTGAATTTACCTGCCATTCATTTTCTGCTGCAAATTAGTTTGTCAGGTACACGTTAGCAAGCTCTTTCTTCAATTCATTTTGCTAACTCCATAGTCCTTTAAATAATGATAAACATTCCTGAATAAAAGCTTACCAGATAGTAATCCTCTTTGACCCTTATACTACTTCGTCTGTAAGACACATCTACCTTTATTTTAAAAGAGAAGGTAAAACGGAAGAATCCCTTACCAGAGACAGAGAAAACAATTCGTTCAGCTAGATCCAACAGTGCTCTGTGCAGCCTGGCAGCATGAGTGATCCTTGGGCCTCACACAAAAGCGAGATAATTGGCTCTCAATGAAGAGATGTAAACATCCATCATAATGGCACTGTGCTGAAACTGAACGCCACCTCAGCTGTTCTATGTACTCCGACTGGAAGATGATGTCACAAACATCAACTGGGTGTACTCTCATTGGCTTCTGTTACCTGGAATCATATCTTAACCCTAAACTGTCAGCTGCAAATTAAAATGCTCATTTCTGACTATAATTTCTGCCTTTAAAAGGAGAGTGAAAGTAATGTTGAGCTCCTGGGGGATCACAAACTGAAAATACTGCCCTATAAATATGCTAAGACTGATTTACCTAATTAATTAATCAGAATTAGTGAAAATGTTATTTTTCAAATGTGTTTTGTTAAGTAACAGTGTTTACAAAAGGTATTTGATAGAATGGATATTAAAGGACAAGATGTATGTAATCATAGCATCTGGAATTTTAAATTTTGTAATTACTTTGCATTGATTTTACAGTACTAGCCCCTGAGATTTAAGAAACTCAAATTGAGGAAAATTATAATATAGTCAATTGTACAGTGAAGTTTTCAGTCAATTTTTTCAGAGCAGTCATTTGTGTTTTTAAATCTTCTAATAAAAACACGAAAACGTAAATACATTTTATTCTCTGAGTATTAAGCACTATCTGCAAAGTTTTGTGTAATAAACCTTAAAGTATGAGATATTAAAAGCACAACATCACTAACATAATAATGTTAACTATTGGTTTTTACAAAGAGTAATTTATAAGTCACTGGAACTTCAGACAATTCCATTTCAGTAATTGAAAGCTACTCTATGATATAGTGCTGTTCTCTTTGAGCACACACGGGGTATAATTATCCATCTCTTACCTTCTACCTGACAAAAGCCCCAGATTTCTCCCTAGGCTTAAATCCAGTGGGAGAGGAGGATAATGGGCTAAGCTGGTTGCAGCAGCTTGCTGCCAGAGGGACAAAACTACAATCACCTTGAAATATACCCAAGCTTTCCCCACCGAAAAGAGCTGTCAACCGCATAACTGTGAGATGCAAGAATTACCAGAGCTATTCAGTGACCAGTTCCTTCTAAATCTAGCCCAGCCATATCCCAGGGCAAGCCCTTTGAAAGCTGTGCAGCTCAGCATGTAAACAGTACAAGCACCTGGAGAAAGAGAAAGGAAATTCACTTCAACCACCCCAACTTTAGGGAAAGGAAAGCCACCAACAGTGCGCTTGCATGCCTTTATGTTATTTCATTTATTTCTGAATAATGGATTCAGGGCAAATACTTGTTGCATTTCCTCCGCATTTCCAATGACAGAAAATTATTTTTACTCAATGGCCTCAATGAGAGTTCAAAAAGTTGATAATATATGAAAATACACTTTCATATGTTCATATTTCCTCCCAAGTTCCGACTTTTATGATAGTCAGTTTATTTGATTACTTTGAGTAGCAAGCTAGCACGTGACATGGGAGCAAGAGTTCTAGACTAGGGTTGAAATGATTCAGGCTCCAGTTCTTGCTCCACCACTTACTATCTATAAAAACTCTGGTAACTTAACATCTTTTATGTATAGACTGAGAATGGTAATGCTACATACAGCAAAATAATAATAATAGATATAGGGATCAGATGAGACAACGCATAGAAACTTGCTATATAAAATAAAACGTATTACATAAACATAAGATATAATAAATATTATTGTTGTTATAAAAGCAATCAAATGTGTTCATTTTAAAGACACATGGAAGACCTAAAATTTAAAGTTACTTTAGTGCCCTCAAAATAATGTTATAAATATCTTAAACCCTTAAAATTTCAACTAGAAAATAATGTTGCACATTAACTTGATTTATAACACTGACACTGACTCAATGTGTTTTTTTGTTTGTTTGTTTGTTTGTTTAAGTTTTTAACCCTCCCAGAATAATTTGGAATTTAATCATATTAGTCAAGTGCAAGATTCTAGACTCAAGAAGACTATTTGTCAAAATGTACTTTGGGCCAACGTGAAAGACGCTGTTCATTTAATTATGCCTAAAAACATGGAAGTTTAGATGAAAATGTGTATTAAAAAAGATTCATTGCCAGGCAAAGTGATATAACATTGAATTACAGATCAGAAAGATGAATTTGGACAATGTGAATGTCAACTGTATTTCTGGTAGACGAATGATAAAGCTGAGGTATTATAATTGCTAAGAGGATATGGCAAGCAGAGAAAAAAGTTTACACAATAAAATATAATCCTATATTGCATACATAATATAAAATTTTAATGGTATAAATATTTAATGGCAGAGATAGAAAGCTAGCAAATTAGATCATATCCTGTTGCATGTAGAAAACATGCTGATATATAGATATATACATTCAGTTAATTTTTAAAGACAAATGTATTTTCTGGTAATTTTAGTGCACACAAATCATAACCTCTCTTATTTGTTTTGCATTTGTTTGGGTGACAGAATGCCACATATAATGTGCCTAGAGAAATACAGCAATATAAAGATTGGGAAACTTAAATACTCCTAGTGCTCTGCAGGCATTTTTGTTTATTTATTTATCTGTCAATTTCCACAGGTATCAATGTATAGGCATTTTGTATCAATAACCCACATCTTACACAAAATTTGTTTATAAGTGAATAAGGTACTTAGTAAAGAATGCTGGTTATTGCTGGGCGTGGTGGCTCACACCTGTAATCCCAGCACTTTGGGAGGCCGAGGCGGGCAGATCACGAAGTTAGGAGATCGAGACCATCCTGCCTAACATGGTGAAACCCCGTCTTTACCAAACATACAAAAAAAAAAAAAAAAATGCTGGTTATTGTTTTTAAAATATGTCAATGAGATTTTTTAGGAATATAGATTTCAATGCTTTTTTTTTTTTTCATTTTTTTTTTTTTTTTTTTTGAGACGGAGTCTCGCTCTGTGCTGGAGTCCAGTGGCGCGATCTTGGCTCACTGCAGGCTCCGCCTCCCGGGTTCACGCCATTCTCCTGCCTCAGTCTCCTGAGTAGCTGGGACTACAGGTGCCCGCCACCGTGCCCGGCTATTTTTTTGTATTTTTGGTAGAGACGGGGTTTCACCGTGGTCTTGGTCTCCTGACCTTGTGATCCGCCTGCCTCGGCCTCCCAAAGTGCTGGGATTACAGGCGTGAGCCACCGCGCCCGGCCTCAATGCTTAAATATTATACAAGATGGAGTCTCTAATCAATTATTTAGTAAAATTTTAAGGAAATACACTTATTACATATGAAAATAATTTTATATTTAAAATTTGAATTGTTTAAAAATTAATAAAATTATTGGTTTACAATTTAATTCCTAGGAAAATTGATAGGGAAAAAAGATAATGTACTAGAAATACTTCATATTAATGTTGGACTAGAATAATTAATGAATCTTTATCGCATATATTAAAAAGTAAATCTCAAGTTTTGTTTTTATTTATTAGGACAGAATATATATTTTAGTTTTAAATAATTACATCTATACACCCAGGAATGTTTCAGATAAATATAGGATATAATAGTTCATATATGAATATCAATTTTATTACTCCAAAGTATGCTTTATACATAAGGACAGAAAACATTTATATACATATATTCTCTTACAGTGGGGAGAAATCATTAGAAAGTAATAATTAGTGGAATTTATAAAACTTTTTTGTGATTCTTTAGTGGTGTTTCTTTTGGAAGAGTAGAGATACTAAATTTCAAGACTTTTCAGTAATTTTCAGAATGTCCTTTGGAAAAAAGTCTGATGACAGTTGAACATCAGTCTGCACATGTATCTGAGTTAAGGTCAAAAATAAGATAGTGTGTATGTGATGTGAACGTTGATAATAAGACATGTAACTATTTTCTACTATACTGAAATAATATTATTAAGAAATGCAACCTGATTACAAAATGTAAAAAATAAAATTCTAAATATAAAAATGTGAAAACATTAAGAAACTACAAGAAAAAAATAAAAGGATGGTGTCATTTCTTGAATATTCTATTTAATATACACATGTAGAAAAGTAAAATGCTGCATATAGCTCTAATTTCATAAAGGAATAGTAACAAACACTGCATCTGAGAATGAATTTCCCAACATTGTCTCATTATTTATTACATTCCCCCAACTAAAATGGCCAGCTAGCATTTGTGAGTTCAGAGAATATAAAATATTTTAACTTTAATAGTGTTTAAAAGTTTAATATGTGGGGAAAAACACTCTATAGACATCAATTTAGGCTTCATTCTCAGTAAATGTATATTAGTAATTTTTTTTTTTTTTTTTTTTGAGACAAAGTCTAGTTCTGTTGCCTAGGCTGGAGTGCAGTTGTGTGATCTCGGTTCACTGCAAGCTCCGCCTCCTGGGTTCACGCCATTCTCCTGCCTCAGCCTCCTGAGTAGCTGAGACTACAGGCGCCCACCACCACGCCCGGCTAATTTTTTGTATTTTTAGTAGAGACGGGGTTTCACCGTGTTAGCCAGGATGGTCTCGATCTCCTGACCTTATGATCCACCCGCCTCGGCCTCCCAAAGTGCTGGGATCACAGGAGTGAACCACCGTGCCTGGTGTAGTAAGTGTTTTCTAATAGGAAGAAAATTGAATCAATAAAATTATTTTGACAAATCAAGTTGAAGATGTTTTGTAGTTTAAGCCAAGTACATCACAATTTTATTGTGGTACTTACATACTATATATTTCCCAGGAGCTGAAATCATTGCAATATTTAATTGCCTGACAATTATTTCTGTTACATCAATTTTGTGGTTAAATTAATTATTTATATTATCAAAACAAATCAGCACTAGAGGCTAATTAAACTGGAGAAACCATCCTCCAATGTTTCCCAACCTACATATTAATAAAGTTTAGTTTATTACTAATTTCTGAAGGAATGAACATGTCCTACAGGTGATAATTTGATAGGCAGAACTTAAGAATTTAAAGAAGTTTAAAACTGTTGTGAACATTATTATCTCCTCTTGAGCAGTTGGGCATATATAGGATTTTACTACATCTTGCAAGATTGACTGACCCACTACCTAGTTATCCACAAGACGGCAGCTCGATTTATATGGCCACCAACAGCTAATACACTGGTTTATCCTTTTACATTTAACAAAACATAATATGTAAAGTATATAGGTAACTTTTGTGTATGAATGATCACAATTAGGTAATTTTTCATTTATAAATAATAAGCCATGAAAGATGGATATCTATTAAAATCTATTGAAAAGCAGGAGATTTAAAAAGTTCCTGCAGCAATTATTGAAAAAGGCAGAACTTTAAAACACTGAATTTTTACTAACACAAATTCCAACGTTTCATCCCAAATTTATTTCAGAGGTTAGTCTATTTATAATAAATTGCTTTTATTTTGTTTCTACAAAGTCTTATGTTGCTTTTAAAAATTGCAAAGTTAGTCTTCAAAATAACTGTGACTACGTAGCAATGATAACTCACTGTTACAATAAAAGAGATCCAGGAATTGTATTTTCCATCTAGCAAATTCTAGATATAACTAAATCTCATAAGAATATCTATTTATTGACCTCACTTGAATTCCTTTTCTATACTTAGTCATCTGCACTCTCATTTTTTTTCTCTATGTCTACCTTAAATCTATTATGTGGCAGCTTCAGTATATTACCTTTATTTCTGTTTTCTGTGCAGATAAAAATTCTGAAAATACTTAGAATTATTAGGCCATATCACCTTTCTTTTCTGAGATTGGATAGCCCCAAGACATTTAACTATGTTTATGTGTCAGTAAATTTTACTCTGGAGAAAGAGAAAATGATTTAGTAAGGATGAAGAAAAGTTTTCCTGCTTCTACGTTAAAGAAATACCAATTCTTAGACATGAAAGTAAGAAGCTATGGCTGATTTAGTGATTCAGCTTCTTGTTTTTAAATGCAAAGCAAAAACATTATCTTATTAAAGAGACCCCAATTTAACATCAACTTGAGTTTATTTGACTAGGTTTCCTTTGAATGTCATGGTTAACCTTTGTAAAAAATCTAGAGATCAATGAATAGAAAGATTTATTTTTTACCCTGTTCTCTGAACGACGGTGTCTTGTGTTTTCATATTGCTCCTTAACTAAGGACACTTTACTTGCTTTCTTATAAATATATTTTGCTTCATTCTTAATATAAAATCTTACAACTCCACTTGGCACTTTTTTTCATTCACCTCACTTTTCTTTCCTTTTGTCTTATGTAACCCAAATTAGATCAAATCAAGAATGACTGACTCCATCTTGACAAATTTGGAGCAACATTAGTCTCATAGAAACTTAAAATTGAATTCAGATCTTGATGAGGAGCATATGAACGCAACCACTTTGTGTTATACCAAAACAGGGGTTATTCATATAAAATCTGCTGTGCTCAAAACATTGCTTCAGACATGTGAATGTTTACACATGAAAGAGAGTGAAAACCAACTGAAATACTAATGATTGTGTGTTATTTCACCTTACTATACCTTTGCAGTAGAAGAGTCTTCAAATCCTTCAAATACATGTTACCATATGGAGAAATGGTATTATTATAATTGTAAAGGAAAAGAAAAATCATCATCATCATCATCATCATCATCATCATCATCATCATCATTATTACCACCAGTTGTTTGCTGACTTGGTGCTAGGCACTGTGCTCAACAT